ACTTAGTATAAGATTGCGCGGATGCAGTACCCACACATACCAATTCACTATGCAGCTCTACAAAAGTGTCTGCGGTGACGGCGCATTGTGCGGTGCCCATACCAAAATGGCCTATTTTGAGCCATGGGGTAGTTTCCGACGCTCAGGCGTTGGCCGAAGCGTGCGCTAAGGGGAGGTAACCCTTCAGCAAGCGCAAAACCGGCCTGAGGGCCTCTCCGTCTTCTGCACCCTGAGGTGTCCCAAGGGGTGCGGGGTAAGACGGCCCCTAGGGCAGGAAGGAATTGGGAACAGTGGTGAGTTGTCTGGCGCACCATCAGCGACAAGCTAATCCTTCCGCCCGGAACTTTATCGTTCCACCAAGATAAATTCCAACAAGGATAAAACACAAACGCTATTAACATCAGTAGAAAGGACACCGCCGGGATAAGCCCTGTAGGGGTTACCCGAACGTACGCTTACTTTAGCAAGATAGATACAGAACAATCTCACTCAAACAATAGAGTTGTGGGGTGGTTCACTCTCACGACAGTTGTGCAGTTTGCCCATCTGAATCCAACGCAACATCACTCCACATAACTCAAATGAGACACTTCCATACATGCCTGCAATCACATCACAGAATCAAGCAAAGATCCACGCACTACACGGAGTCAACTCCAACCAACCTCTTCACTCATACCCTGCTTCAGCCATGCAGGCCCCAACCTCCAGCCAACCAACCATAATTAAGTACTCAGTACCTCTGTTAAACGACCATTTAATAGAAGTCCGGGTAAAACCATAACAAAACAAAAAAGCACCAGGGCTGAAGCCTTTCTAGGTTGAGCATTGAGAGTGAATTGGGGTTGAGTCGTAAATCGACGAATCAGCAACCGACCTGTTATCAGCGATAACAGAAGAATAGTCAGGCTGACCAAGTCAGACATTCAATCAATACGCACGGCGTGCACCACAGCACAGGTCAGAGAGATTTCACTACAGCGTTTAACCTAAGTAGGGAGTAATCCTCCCAAGTCACATCCTAACTCCTCTACTAAGCCACTACTCAGCTTCTGAGAGGTTCAGTAACACTTTCCCTACTCAGGGTTGAGTTGCTAAGATTGGTCTAACTGAAAATATTCTAACTCTCCAAATTTCCCAAAATTTTGGCAGCGTTTCCCGTAGGAAAAGTGCCTTTTCATAATTTCTAGGAACCTGAATATGACTAACTCTTTTCAGTTTTGCAGAAATTTCGGCAGCGGTTCCCGTATGAAAAGTAGGCTGCCAAGATTTATACAAAGCTGAAAGTCAAAGCGCAAAGCAAAACTATACTTGGGGCTAACTCCTGATCCCTGCTTGACAACTTAGGATCAATGTTGGTCTACATGCCCTCTGAATGAGGCCATGAGCCAACGCTGATCCCAAACCCCAGCAGAGTCAGTCCTATCTCATCCCAAGTTTCCCTCTCATCATTCATCTTACCTACCTATGGCTCAAGCACTCGGCGAGCATCTACAACAACTACTCTATCAAAAGATGCCCCAAGTGAGAGTCCACGAGCATGCAAGCGCAAACATCTCTCACAATCCTACATGGTTCTTTTCCAGGTCACATAATTCGTTCAAAAACCCTCATTGTTCCCTTTTTACCCTTCCTTACATAAGACATAGGGTCAGCCAACCCAACTTATGGATGTGATTGACCTGCCAATTTATATGACTAGGCCACACCAACTTATGGTGCCCTAGCCTGGTAACACAAATATACGTACGCTTAAGACCAAGCCACACCAACTCATGGTGTGACCAGTTTCTGCAAAACGATCGACATAAGGCGTATGACCGGGCCGCACCAACTTATGGTGAGGCTGGTCAGCCTGAACGTTCGGCATACACATAGAACTGAACCTCCTCAACTCATGAGGGGTCAGCCTCTGCCTAAGCAACAACATAAGGCATATGACCAAACACAACAACATATGTTGCGTTCGGCCAGCCCACACGGTTACATACGGCGTACAGTCAAGCTACCCAACTTATGAGTAGTCCAGTCCAGCCTAGAAATAATCACATGCGCGAAGAACTGAACAGCCCGCAACTTATGCGTTTGCCCAGCCTTCGCAATACAACCATGTTCAACTTATAGACATAAGGCATAAAACTTACCACAACAACTCATGTTGTGATAAGTCTCTGTCTGAACAAAATGACATAAGGCATATAACCAGGGCGCACCAACTTATGGTGAGACATGATGAGCCTAACTCTCGGCATATACAAAAAAATTGTACCTCCTCAACTTATGAGGAGCCCAACCTTTGTCTGAACGAACGACAAAAAACATATGACCAGACACAACAACTTATGTTGTGCCTGACCAGCCCACACAGTGACATATAACATAAAACTAGGCTACCCAATTTATGAGTAGTCTAGACCCGCCTAAACAACAACAAGCGCGTATGACCGAACAACCCGCAACTTATGCGTTCGCCCGACCCTCGAAACACAACTACATCCAATAGATAAGTTTCACAATCAGATTCTGTTTTCGGATGAGTGGCCAGATCACCTCAACTCATGAGGATCCCCACCCAAGCGTCAGCTATGTTTAGAAGAGGAAAATAGCCAGACTTTATATCTCTCTCTGCTTTCGCGTTATCAAGGACATAGGACCAACTACCCGATTTATGGGTGACTCAGCCTGCCCACAGTTACCACACCATTTTGTATTGTTCATCTTCTTTTCCTCTGCTTTGTCTGCTACTGGTTTATATGGCTGGATCTCCCAACTTATGGCGTTTAACCTGCCATGAATATACATAATAGATAATGTATCACTTTGTAAGCTCTGATTCTCTTAGTGATGGCGGCTCATGACTTGACCACACCAACTTATGGTGCGAATAGTCTCGCTTGAAACAATAAAGCACAAGACTGAGTCACACCAACTTATGGTGTGATCAGCTTCTGCCTAAACAAATGACGTAAGGTGTATAACCGGGCCCCACCAACTTATGGTGAGACTGGTTAGCCCTTTCGGCATACACAAAGAACTAGACTACCTCAACTTATGAGGAGCCCAGCCTATGCCTGAACAAATGACGAAAGGCATATGACCAGGCACAACAACTTATGTTGTGCCTGACCAGCCCATACAATTACATACGGCGTAGAACTAGGCTACCCAACTTATGGGTAGTTTAGCCTGCCAAATAACAAGTAAAACAAGTGCGAAAGACCGAACAACCCGCAACTTATGCATTCGTCCGGCCTCCGCAACACTTTTGACAGCTCTGTGTCTTCTCAATTCACATTGATAATCTTGATTAAATCAA